ATCCAAAACGGCCTAACAAAGTCGTTTTTAGACTTCGTATTCATCCACCGTCGCAAAGTAGGCCGAAGAAAAAGGTAACAGAAAAGTGAATATCAGAAAAGAAACAGGTAAAGAAATCATTGTGAGATGATGACATATAGTGAGGCCCGCTAAATTGCGTTAAATCTAACACAAGAGTTGCGAAATCAACATGTACAGCGGTAGTGAACACCTTGCAACTTGGTTGCCTTCTTTGTATCCATCCGCAAATGGGTGAGCAGGAATGTTGGGGGAATTGACCTTGGCAACGAAGCAAATTATGTGCTAATATTTTCGAATAGCGACAACTTTGAAACAGTAGTCATTTTTACGATGTTGTGCAATGAAGAGGAGTGAAATTCTGTCGGTTTTGCACAATCAACGAACAAATCTGCGGTGTTATTGTCAAATTTGGCGACACAAACTCAAGATCATTCCTCCCACGTTCTGCCCGTCCTCAGCTGCGTTGCTATGGGGACGGTGTTCGATGCAACACCACGGAAGACATATTTGAGTCAGCAGAAGCGGACGCCTTCAAAGGTGAGCTCCAAACTTTTACATTTTTTTCTGTGAATAATTAGTGATAAAACGGGAAACAACCACACAGAGTTCATGATGATATGTTGTAGAAGTAACACCGGGAGTGTTATGATGTTTGGAAACGTTTGGTTTGAAATTTTGAGGGAAATTTGCGGGGTGTGCATGGCTGGACCAAAATTGGGATTTTTCGTAACGTTAACTATATGCAGGGAACATCTCAACTTTGTTGCGCGATTCTTGTGTTTAATTGTGCCGTTTTTAACATACCAACGGTCATAAATGAGCGCAAAACATCTCGATTCAGGGTGGAATTAAGTACATAACCACTTAACACCTTGTAAACGTTTGCGCTTAAGTGAAAAGATGTTTTTATTGCTTTACTGATGTAACAAAATGTCAACAGAAGTTGATGGGATATGGTTACCATGCCCTTAGTAATAGAACAAGTTTAAAAAATTTCACCGTACAATTTTGATTTATTTCAGTCACAAGAAAAACTAGAAAACACGTGTGATTGTTAAGTGAGAAAGCAAATCCCTGTTATGAAATTCTGGTTATATTTTGGACCGTTAGAAACGGCACTTTTTACTTGTTTTGTTGTTTTTATTTTGGTGTAGGGTGGGAGGGGGGCGTTGCCGTGGAGCAAAACAATGTATTCTTAACCTTTTAATAGTCAACTAGTTACAAAGTGAACAGTCAAATTTCACATTTACAGCAACATGATTTTATATTTTGTTTATGTTATGTCTAATTGGGTATTAATATTTCCTAATCGGCGTCGATTTGCTTTTGAAGTGACCAATGTAAGTAATGTTGGAACAAAGGTAGGTCTATCCTGTTAATTAATAATAATGATGATTCTCGCTCCCCGTTTCTGTAGTTAAGGTTGTTTTTAGCATGGATAAATCAACCTTGTATGGAGAAAATTTGAACAGATTGACAGAAGAATTACCCACTTTATGGTCTCTTTTGTGGACTTGAATCCTAAATAGATCAAGACAATATTTGCTATGTGAGGAGGATAGAATGTCATAGTGTAGATAGGAATAGAACACTTGACTGTATAATGGATGTAATGTTGCAATTTTTGAACTTGTTGTGTCGATAAACGCCGTATGGCCCGTGGCCCCCTGGTTAGGGGCCAGAGCGAGGAACCTATGCCCAATTTTTTCTTGGATTGCGAACTTAAGTTATATTTGAGAATAAACAGGCTTGACTGTACATCTAGTTAAACCTTTGGTGACACTTTTTCAGCCACTCCAGAATGTCTAGCGCAGAAGTGAGGGAGAGGAGCAGGAAGAACGATGGAGAGAAGGGGGAGAACACCACCGTGAGTACATCACTGTTTCTTCTCTTCATCTGTGAGGGTGAAATTAGCTTGGTACAAGGTGTTGCTGTAGCAGGAATGTTGTACCAAACATGACTTAAGTCTCTATCACCCTCCAAACAGCTCAACTTCAAGATTCTTGCAGATTTTCTAATTCTCCTTAATCCCATGTTTTCCCCAGCCGCCCATCAACAAAGAAGTCCTGTCGTCAGACACAGGAACACCTGATGAAACCATGGACCGGTCAAGCTCCGATACTGCCGCGCTGTCGATATCATCATCATCATTGTTAAGCCTGTCAGAGATCTCTGATCTCCCGGTATGTAAAATTTTCAGAAATCAGGTCACACTTTGTTTTACATCTGTCCAAAAATCTCACAGCTCTCAATGAAAGTCATTCCTGTCCAAGGTGCTAATCAGCCGGCTGCACTGCTGTTAGAGCAGTTTAACCCCTCTTTAACCATTCCAATGCTAACATCACAGTACAAAGTAGTCATGTAGCAGCCCTTTCCTTGTGTATACAACATTAGCAGCTGCTTTGTCAGTGAGAAACTTGGCTGTAGTTTTGGCATAGTTTGTTCACACTCTCAGTAACTGTAGAATGTAAGTTTTTGATGATAACTTCATGCTTTTACAGTTTCATTCTTATTTCAATATTTCTGCGTACAAATCTAGAATCAGATTCAGATTGTTAGTTGAATTTATTTCATGGTTTCAGATGCTTAAGTTTGTTTTTGTACTTCTTTAGGTTGATCAGGACAGGTCAGAATCAGAGGACAGCATTAGCTCCCAGTAAGGACTCAGTTTAGCTAGCTAGAACTAGAAACAGTTAGCTCAGGGATCTTTTAGCAGATTAAGTCAGTTTAGTGATCAGCTAAGCTAGATGGTACTAAACTTCTTAGGCAGCTAAATAGGGATTTTT